AATTAAACAAAACTCTTGACTTTAAATAAGTAAACAGTTATAAACAGTTAGCTATTTAAGCATCAAGAAGGTTAAACATAAACGCTGTAGGGCAACATCGGTTAACAACATGTATGCTACATTGAGATTCGATCCGAGTCGATTGAAGCTCCTCGAAGCTCGTGTTGTTGCGTTAACCACTGAGCTATCGTCTATACGTCTGTGACTGTTTTTATTGCAATGTTTTACTTTTTCATTATTTATTCAATTTCATTTCAGTAGCCTAATTTCAGTATTGTGATTATGAATTATTTTAACTACGTTTCACTTGTTGAATTCATCTGCTACCAGCTTTCAAACGCTCTGAATCAGTGCGGTGCGGCAGCAGATTACGCATTAGAGAGAATAAACAAACACTTTTCAGAGTCTATGATTGTAGCGCCTCTTGGCGGTAAAAGGCAGCAAATACACCCCACATTTTACCGCCGCGGTGGAACGGCTGATGTGGGCATTGTCATGGCTTGCCTCGACATTTGCGTTTGAATAGCGCGCGTCCTCCGTGGGCGTGTCAGATTAACGCGTAATGAAGTGTAATGAGCTGGGGGAAAAAAATCTGACAGCACTCTCTTTTCATACAGATTACATAAACTGAGAATATTTGTTTTTTATATAAATTACATCATTAAAAAGAAGAGAATTCAAGCTTCATAAAGAAAAACCTCTCGTGCCTGTATGACAAGTATTTGCAGAGTTAGAGTTAATTTTTCGGACGTGTTTCAGAATGGACTGCACTGACAGAGAGAAGGCAAAACTCGCATCATGTTTATTTTTCTTTATTTGACAAAAAGCACAAAACTTTGTTTTTATTGTGAGTATACAGAAAAATAATAGACAATTAACAGGATCGATTGATGTATAACACTTATATGTACGATCAAAATCAACAGAGTATTTTAAGTCTATTTTTCTGCTATGTGAAAAAAAAACGGCAAAACGCGCGGGCGCGTTTCTGGTCCCCAGAGGGTTAAGGCATGAAGATTTTTTTTTTTCAAAGAAAAACGTTTAAATATGTAATTTTGGTGATCAAAGATGAGTTTTATGGGATAAAATGATTGACCACAGGGGGACTTTAAATAACATTATCATAGTTCTCTGCATGAAAGACCCCCAACTGTCCAATCAACGTGCTACTTGTTTTCTCTCCAATACTGTGGGAAGAATTGAAGCGTGTATGTGAGGATTCAACCTCCGACAGAATGATTGACAGGCCGGTTTATGGTGACAGACTACAAAAACAGTAGGCCTTCATACTTTTAGGGTGTAGTAATAAGTAAGTTCTCAAGTTTTCTTGTGACACGACAACAAAATGCATATTCCTGCAAGTTGTTTGTAACACCCTGATATTTGATTTGGCATGTAATTTTTTTTTTTTTTTTTTTAAATAGTAATAATATTTTGTAATGTGCCTCAACTTTAAAGCAGTTAATTTGATCCCACTTGGTCACAATCACCTTCCAGCGAAGCTCTTAAGCCACATTCACTTCAGAGTGATTGGCACTGCAATAAATGAACAGTAAGTCACTTTTGATTAAAGCGCCTGCTAAAGAACTGAGTAATTGTGTTGCTTGCCAGTTCTTTGACTTGCTGTGTTCATTACTGAAGGCTTAGTGTAGAATGTCATGTACTGCCAGTCATTTGTAGTTTGTGTGACTCATAATGACCAATTGAGCTCAGTGAGGGCCGTTTGTGCGAGCCAGTGTCCTACATATTAAAGCTGATTTGTGAGTGGAAGACTTTTTATCCGTGTGTGAACAAGTGTTTGTTTATTTGTGCATGTGTGTATCCTCGAGCACGTGTTTTTTCAGGAGTGAGTCTATCTTTGTTTGTGTAGGCCTGAGCTATGCTATCAGAAGAATTACTCTAAGCATGATTTTGTATAAGAAAGAAGAACAAGTCATTTAGTTTGAGATTAAGCAGATATCCGGAACAGCAGATTTGGGGCCAGAAAAAACCCCCCAATGGGACAGATAAAAAACAAAGGAACGAGAGAGGGGAAATGATGAAGTAAAACAGGACCACAGTTTGAAAGATGAGGAAAGGAAAGGAAAATTCAGAGATATTATTCAAATGAAAATGTCACTTAAAGGTGCTATATGTAACTTTTCTTCTAAAATGAATCCTTTTTTTATTGCCTGTGTGTGAAGGGCTTGTAATCACACAATGATCCACTTGTCGGGTTTTGCTATTACCTCTGAAGGCCAGTATTCCTATTTCTATGTGAAGTCTCCGGGCCGGATTTTCTGCGAAAGCCATCGGATGTGACGTGCATGCGCGCTCCCGAGCCTCTCTCCTTTTTATATACAGTCTATGCGACGGCAGTGCAGCGAACGACGTGGAGTCTGATAACACCAAACAACGACCTGCCTCCAGCACAACACACACTCCAACACCTCCGCTATTTTTATTGTGATAAATTACAAGTTTTCAGATATGCTGAAATAAATAATGGTAAACTGTAATGAAATAGCAAGGTAAACTACAACATACATGAGACATGAATGAATACAAAAGACTGTTCCAGGATAACAAAAGTAGGTGCTTTAGGATCATGTAACTTTTATTTTATGTACTAGATCTACTGTCTAACGTCACTCATCCCACTACTATCATATTGTTTAATACACATTTCCAGACACGTACAGTACAGTAATGTTACTTCCTACAATCCTACTGTCTTACTGTTACACTGACATTATTCAGTCTAGTCACTAACCATTTTCGTTATCATATTATACATTCACCTATGTTGACATTGCTGATTGTGAAAGATACACGAATAGTTAGTGAAATGCATTATGCTATAACACCACATGCCGGCTAAATGCAGTCAATGTAACGTTATCATGGTACGAGCATGGAGCATTAGTTCAACGTCAAGCTGATAAAAGTAGCCTATTATTGTAACGTTGCAGTGGGAGTTTACATGAGTTTCCAGCATGTTGTGTGATGCTTTCTCCGGTGTGTTGAAAGTCTCAGTGTGGCCGGTACCATGAGTGCTCGCTCTTGTGTTCGAGCACGAGCGCTCTTGTAAAAATTGGTTGCAATCTGAAACATCACCGATAGAGGCCGCTAAAAATACATATAGCACCTTTAAAAGAACGTTTAGAACAACATGATGGTGACAGAACTTTCATTTTTGGGTGAACTGGTCCTTTAAGACAGGGTTTTCCAAACGGGGGTTGATGAAAGCTAATATTTAATTCGATTGAATTTAACATTAAAATAAATAAATATGTGCGATATAATGAACGACTGTACGATAATCAAAGGCTGCGGTGGTTTAATTAACTTGTGGCATAACTTTGTTTTAAAAGGTGGATAGGACAGGAGTGTGTTTGTTTGTGTGTGTGTGTGTGTGTGTGTGTGGTGTGTGTGGTGTGTGTGGGGTGTGGGGTGGGGGGGGGGGGGGGGGGGTTGGTCCCAACTGGGTGTTAAATACAATGCTATATATCAATGCTATCATGTACAATAATTAATATTCAATTTCAATAGTACATTGAGTTTAACGTATCCACATATAAGTCATGTTTAACGTGATAGTTTCATTCTTAAAAATAAAATCTACTAAAATACAAATAAGTTGTTAGTCCTAAGATTCTTCACGTCAATCAATAAATACATAAATCTGCTTTAACTTCTTGTGTGCCCTTATGGTCTGGTGTGTCAGAGGCTCTAGGTTCTAGTCCACCCTCTTATAGTTTTTTTCTTCTCATTAAAATCAAAGATGTTCATCAATAGCAGTGACACGTTTGTGTGCGTTTTGTTTTGTGATTTCACCATAGAGAGTCTCCGCATCGGTGTTAAGTGATAGATTGAAGTGCTCGTCTGTGTGATTATGATTTCAAAAACTATTTTTGAAATAGTTATTAAGAGCAGTGACACGTTTGTGTGCGTTTTGTTTTGTGATTTCACCATAGAGAGTCTCCGCATCGGTGTTAAGTGATAGATTGAAGTGCTCGTCTGTGTGATTATGATTTCAAAAACTATTTTTGAAATAGTTATTAAGAGCAGTGACACGTTTGTGTGCGTTTTGTTTTGTGATTTCACCATAGAGAGTCTCCGCATCGGTGTTAAGTGATAGATTGAAGTGCTCGTCTGTGTGATTATGATTTCAAAAACTATACATTCCAACGCCAGATCGCCTGTATATTCTGCTAGGCTACTGATGTTTCAAAAAAGTGGAGGGGACAATATTGAGGTGGGGACATGTCCCACACCTGCAAATTACTGCTATGAATAACTGTATAGGCTGATCTGCACTGCAGGTTTAAAAGCGCAGCGCAGCACTGTGTTCACGTGAGCAGCTGGTGATCCAGTGTTTCAGCGTCTGAGAGCATCTCAGTTCACAGTACATCCAGCAAACTCAATCTCTGCATGTGCTGCGAGTTTAACATGCATTTGGGAACATGCACAATTTCATATTTGCATAATTTCCAATGTTTTTGTGGACAGTTCATAGCATTTCAGCAGTATTCCACGAAAGAAATAAAAGCTTGAGGTTTTAAAATGTTAAAAAGCTCAAGGGTTTGAGTGTTTGAAAGTGAAGAATTTTAGACATAAATATTAGTATTATAACTTGTAGTGTAAAATAAAATTATTAGTAGTATAATTATCAGTAATAAATGTTTTAGTTTACAACAGTATTATGTTTCTTTCTTTATTTTTATAGTTATTTAAATAATAATCAAAATCATTATTATTATTATTATATTTGAATGGGTTCCAGTGTAAATTTAATGTGGAGAGAACCGTGAACATGCAAATGTGTTGTTGAATTATTGAAATATTATATCTCGGGAACACTTCAAGTATATGTTTTATGTCTAAAAGGGTTCAGCTGACAAAAAAGTTTGTGAACTCCTGCTTTAAGGATTCTGAACTTTAGTTGTTTGCCTTAGATGCCAGTCTTGGTGTACATTTGTCATATTCTTTGTAAAGATGAATTAATCTTTCTGTAACAGTATGTGGAGCTGATGAGTCGCCGGCAGGGAGAGTTGGACTCTTTAGTTGCCGTTGGTTATCGCTCTGCTCTGACAGAAGAAAGGCGGCGCTATTGTTTTCTGGTGGACCGTCAATGTTCAGTCACCAAGATCCTCGTCAACTACCACTGCAAGGTAACACTACAGATATGAGCGAACAATGAAGCTTTAACCAACTAACTCAGTCTGTAGAGGACTAGCAAACATAACAAGTTCACTGGAAAAACAAGTCTTTTTTTACTCCAAAAACATCATAAAAATAAATTTATATATATAATTCACTTCACTTAGTTAAGTTTAGTTTTCTGCTAAAATGAACACTAGATTCAGTAAAACACCAACAACTTTAATTGTCTTTTCACACAAATAAAAATAATGAGGCAGATTATCTTATTTTTGTGCGATTCCTTACAAATTACTATTTTATGACCTCAAAACCCTTATAGTGCATTTATAAGATAATGCAATTTAATGTTTGCATATGTTTGGGTCCATATGTTTGGCTTTTCAGTCATAGTAAACTCCTGGTAGAGCACTGCACTTGTGATGCAAAGCCCCATAAAACATGATAACAAAAAGACTTGTACGATCAAACTAAAAAGTCATAATTGTTTTAGCAAATGTGTTTTTATCTTAACTTTAAAACAAGAAACAAGAGTGTAGTTATGAAAATTAGCTGTGCATTTGACAGAAATGTTGTTTGATAGTTTTTTGTTTCATTTCAAGGGTGTAAATAATTTTTATTTTTTATTTTTTTTAAATGCTTTATTTAAACATTTAGTTTACAGTGTGAAACAACATAATAATAACACAACAACAACATCATAGCACAAAAAAAGTTAGACAGTGATATAAACAAGAATGAAAAAAAAGAAGAGGGCATTACTTAAATGAAAAGAAATCTAAGCATTAAATAAAGTAAAAAGTTTGAAGCTCTTGCAAATGTTACATGTTCTGAGTGCTTTTGGGTTAAGAGAGGATGAAATTGTAGTCAAGTAATGTTTTATCTCATGCAAGAACACCCAAAAATATTGGTTTACAATTTGAAAACTTACATTTGTGAATATAAAATCTACATAGGAATTGGATTTATTATAAAGCAGTCATTTGAATCAGCTTCAAAAAATCCAAAAATAACAGTTTTGGGATTCATGGAGAAATTCTGCAAGATAAACCCACTAACATCTTCCCAAAGTTGCCGAGTAAAATTGCATGACCAAAACAAGTGAAGAAGAGTTTCAGTGTCATTCTGACAGAAAGAGCAATTAGTGTCAAAATCAGATCGGAATTTTTTCCTAAGGAAATTTTTAACTGGTTAAATATTATGAATTAATGTTGTTTGATAGGTGAGAGAGCTGTTGTCTCAGAAGCTGGCATCATGGCAACAGTCATGTGCCCAGCCAACCAAACTACCAGAACGAGCGCTGAACCTGTTGCGTCACACTGCCCCCCAGAGCTCTGGAGGAGCAGGACTAGCGGAGGTCCTGCGGAACGCCAAACTGGGAATCTCTCAACCTGGAGAACAAGTGAGGGACAAATACTCCCACATCACAGGGGCTTAATTGTCATAAAAATGTCACAATGCTTTAAAAATGTTTTAAACGTAATGTAAAACGTCCTTAAAAACAGGATTAATTTACTTTATGTAAAAAAAAAAATGTTTTCCTAACTTTTGATTTTAGGTGAAATAACATGGACATTTCTAAATATTTCTGATATTCTCTCTAAAAAATGAAATATTAAGTGTTTCTAAATTTTTGTATATATTATCATAATGTCATATTTTGATGATTTATCCTGTATAAGTGTCACCCCCCTTTTTTTGAATATACATGAAAATGCACATTTCAAACTTAAATGGTTGTAATTCAAGAATGCTTTGGAATATAGACGTAAGATTGGTCTCGTTTTAAAGAAGACATTTGGCAGATTTTTGTAGAAGTGAAGTAAATTAGGAAAGTGAAACAGAAAAAAAAGTTATAGAAGTTTGAGTTTATGAAAATGTACAATGTAAAAAATGTAATTATTCATATTTTATAGAAAATATATTTTCAAAACCTGGGCGACTCTAAAACTGCAAAGAAATCAGTCAAAAATCTGAACAAGTTGTGTTTCAAATTTTAGGTTGATATCTCAAAAAATGAGCTTTCAGTAAGATTTTGTTTGGGTGCAGTACCGAACGCTTCCACTAGGGCACAACCAGACTCCATTACTGCCCATATAAGGGTGCCTCCATTTCCATATGTGTTTTGAGTGATATGAACCATTATTTCCACAATTTTCATACAATTTATGAAGTAGACATCCTATTCAGAAGTAATATGAAAAGTTTGGCAGATTTTGATATGAATTCAACCTCTAAGAAACACAAAAAGAACAAGTATGTGCGTTATAGCTCGCTGCCACATCACAAATGGTGAATCTATAATTTTTTTCTTTATATTTAAAAAAAATTCTGACCTTTTTTTCTAAAATAATTGAATGGATGCTATCTTTTGAACTCTTGGCATGAAAACAAACTGAGGTTTCTACCCTTCTTTCATGATTTTTCATGTTCATCACTATTTCAAATTAAAGGTCTAAACACGCCTTAGGAGTATGAAAATATTATTGTTGCAAATTGATAAATTATGGCTCCTCTGTAATTCATTTTGAAAATCAATCACCAAATATGGAAACTAGAGATTGTAAGCTTTCAAATGATATATAGTTTGTCAAGATTAGTTTAGGTTTAGTATAGGATATTACTGTTTTAAAAATGTAATGGATTTGGGCCCACCGGTGGGCCGGTGACACTTTTCTTAAAGGATTAGTTCACTTTAAAAAAAAAAATTCCTGATAATTTACTCACCCCCATGTCATCCAAGATGTCCATGTCTTTCTTTCTTCAGTCGAAAAGAAATTAAGGTTTTTGATGAAAACATTCCAGGATTTTTCTCCATATAATGCACTTTACTGGGCAGCAAACGGTTGAAGGTCCAAAAGACAGTTTCAGTGCAAACTGCAAACTGTTCAAATGGCTTTAAACGACACCAGACGATGAATAAGGGTCTTATCAAGCGAAACGATCGCTTATAAAATAAATAAATAATAAATTTAAGTTTTATAAGCTCAAATGCCCGCCTTGCTCTGTTCTGTGTGACTCTCCTGTTCGAACTTTTTCCGAGTCAATTCGTTCATTTCATTCGTTAAATGAATCAAATGACTCGAAAAAAGATTTGTTCATTTTGATGAACGAGTTCGAACAGGAGAGTCACGAACGTGCATCACAGAACAGAGCAAGGCGAGCATTTGAGCTTATAAAACTTAAACTTTGTTATTTATTTTTGAAATGAGCGATCGTTTCGCTTGATAAGACCCTTATTCATCGTCTGGAATCGTTTAAAGCCCTTTGAACAGTTTGCAGTTTGCACTGAAACTGTCTTTTGGACCTTGAACCGTTTGGTGCCCAGTAAAGTGCATTATATGGAGAAAAATCCTGGAATGTTTTCATCAAAAACCTTAATTTCTTTTCGACTGAAGAAAGTAAGACATGGACATCTTGGATGACATGGGGGTGAGTAAATTATCAGCAAAAGTTTTTTAAAAAGTGAACCAATCCTTTAAGGGGTTAAGAGCTAGTTTTTCAGGCTGTGATTAGGCACAGCCTATTAGGGCTACTAGATTACATCCCAGCATAATTTCTTCTCCTGATGATAGATGATACAAAATCTCAGCCGATGTTAAGAACCCATGTCCAGTTTAGAAATCAAATACAAATAAACAAAACCAAACAAAGGCTTGACTTAAACATGACTCGATTTAAACTTGACTTGAGCAGACTTGACATAGACCTGACAACACTTACCAACAGCATGTTACATGAACAAAGCTAGACAAGAGACATTGTTAGCATGAGGGATATGTGCAGCCAGCTGACACATCTTCTCCAGAACTTGTTGACTTCTTCCTGGATGATTCTTTTTTTTTTTTTTAATGGATAGCCTTCAAACTCAAAACTTTCTTGATCCCCTCTTTTTCCAGTACATCCCAGAAGAGAGTTTGGACTTGCGTATTCCACGCAGTCTTCCCAACATAGTGTCGGCCCAGATCCGGCCCACATCTGGTACGCATGGATTCCACATTCGACACTATGTAGCTGTCTGGGATGTAACTTACTTGCCTTTTTAAGCCGTCAGACATCCTTCTTGATGAAACAGTCGTCTGCTTTTTCTTTTTGATATTCAGAGGTGCCTGAATATACAATGAGGTTATTTAACTAAACTTTTTCTCCATCCTAATGAACTCTCACTTTAAGTTTCTCCTGAGGACTGAGTCTTGCTTTTTCTTAGTCAAACTTCTAGTTAGTACTGCAGAAAATGCTTTCCTCTGGAGTTTGTTAATACTTTCTCTTGCAGAAGTTACAAACTCAGCAGCTGACTGTTTTGGCCAATCCTCCATTGGCCACTTCAAGAACACTGCCATGCAGAATCTTCTTTTAGGCCTTCTGGACTACCTCCCCTTGTGATAATATCCACAATGTTTAAGTTACCTGGAATCCACCACCAGTCTTTAACATGCGTAGTTCTCTGGATCTCTCCAATTCTTTTTGCAAAGAAGGACTGGTAGCCATAGCTAGCCTGCTGAATAGCTCCCAACAAGTTTGTCTGTCCACCAGATGAAACCATTGGTCAAATGGTCAGTGTATTTTCTAAGCCTGGCTGCATAAACTGCACCACACATTTCAGCCATGACCTCTTTAAGAAGGTTTTGTCCTACACTCATTTTCTTTTTCCACTTGGAAAAATGATTGAAAAGTTTATCCTCTTCCACCAGATACCCAGAGTCTTGTTGTCTTTATCCCTCAAATGGTTTGGAAGTTTCAGGATTCTGTCTTCTAGTGTTGACTCTACCGGCTCACCATCAATTGAGACCAGGCTTCCAACTTTGTTCTGATCGATCCCAGTGCTTCAAGAAAAACCCTTAAGCTCTTAGGATCTCCTTAACACCTTCGTTTATTTTTTCCAGCCTTTTCTGATTATTGTGGGAAGTTAGAATATCTTCTACGTATCTATCCTCTTCAATAACTTTGCACTCCTCAAGAAGATGAAAGAACTTTTTCATTTTTGCAATTTCCCGTATGGCTAACTGTGCAATGCACCCGATGTTAACTCTGGTGATTGCATATTCTCCTATTCACTCTGATCATCTCTCCACAGAAACCTATGTAGATGCATTTCTCTCTCCTCCAGCCTTACAGAGTTATATGTCTTCCTGATATCTCCTAGGACAGCATAAACTCCTCTCCTAAACCTTAGAAGAACAGCTCTGATCGGAATAAGAACATCTGGGCCCTTCAGAAGAAGATAATTCATACTCAAACTTTTACATTTCTGACTGCTGTTCCATACCATGCGCACTGGAGTAGTAACTGAGTGAGGATTTGGTGCAATCAGGTGACTCACATACCACACTGGTTCATTTCAGCAATTCATTATATCCTCAGTGAGCTTGATTGCGGCCCCTGCAATCAAGCTCAATTTGAACTGCATAAGCAGATGCTATAACTTCAGGTCCTTAACAATTCTGTCATCCAAACTGTCCAGGAGTTGGATTTTCTTTACCTCTGCCGATCCAATTTGTTCTCCTTGTTTCTGTAAACTTTCCCAATCCTTCTTCCAATGGAAGAAATCTCTCTTGATACCACTTAATTTAGGCAAACTAGTTGGTTTTATTCTCACAACTGGTGTAATCAGCATAGTTTGGAGAGCTGTGTTTGGGTCTACAGGACCTGCAGATTGAAAACTTCTTTCAGCATTATGTTCAGTAATAAACAAACTGTTACTTGAAACAAGTCTATTATTTTGTACTTTTAACTGCTTTACTCTGCTCTCAAAGTCCTTCTTTTCTGTTGAAGGAATCCATTGCGTCCAGCTGGATATAGTTTTGACTCCGGCTTGAGGCGGGTACAGGAGAAGCATCTCAGATGTATTCTAGTGGCCCCCTGTTGGCCAGTGATACCTTGGTTTAGCCTCCTATTAACTCTCCCAACCTGTCCACCTCAGCCACTCCCAGTTCGGAAAGATCTGCTGTCACAGATGGACGGGGCACTGTGGCATCCTTCTCCGGACAGGTTATAACTGTGTGTCTGGCCCATGAGCAGATGGTGCAAGCAGATAGTAGACATCTTTCCATGAAGACTGCTTTCTTTTTAGCCATAACATCAACCAGAAGGGTCAGCGAGTTACATGCTTTCTCAGTCTGCAGTGTCTTAGGTGGGGGCCAGAGAGCAATTAGGTTACACTTTGGCCGAACCCAGCTTTCCAGCCCCAAGGTATTGCAGCTCAGTTCACAAATCAGCCTATTCAGCTGGCGGCATTTAGGAAGGAGGACAAGGCTTTCCAAGCAGCCCTATGTCCAGTTTGTGCATTGAGTATGTGGTAAGGACTGCCTCATGTCGTACCACGGACCAGCTATTCGTCTGTTTTGGGCCCGGCAGAAGAGGTGCACCGTTTTCGATACAAAGACTCACTCACTGGGTGGTGGACACTATTGTTGAGGCATATCGTTCGACAGGGCGTACAATGGTTGCTCATTCGATTCGGGTGGTGGGCCCTTCTTGGGCAGTATTGCGTGGTGTGCCCCTTTCGGAGATATGATACCAGGTTTTATAAGCTTAATGTGGCTCCTATTCCTTTGATTAGCTCCAATGTGTTGCCTTAAGCTATCATATTCTTGTGACTTGGCATTGATCTTCCATGTACTGATCATCTCTGGTGGTCTGGAACAGTGAAATAGAAATGGTGGAGGACCGCCAGAATCTTTGGTCACTTGGATTGAAAATGCCTAGGAAACCGACCATGACGTTGTTAGAACTGATATCGCTTCCGACACGTCATTGGTTAAAGTCACGTGTGACTCAATTAATACGAGATTCTTGATGTGATGAGCGAGACACAACTCCTTCCACCATGTACTGACAGTCTCTGGTGGTCTTCCACTATTCAAAGAATCATGATTACACCAGTAACCAGCATATTACAAAGTCACATTTTAAATAACATTAGCTGGCAGGAAAAAAAAGGAAAATTTGTTTTGTTTTGTTTTTAGTTAGTTCCAAAAGGTTTATGTATAATTTAATCTCATTTATAAAGTGTAAAAAAAAATGGTTTGCAGAGTGCCCACCTCTTTTTATGTATATGATATTTTCCTAATACAATAAATCATTGTATAATATATTGTTCTTTACTTTTCAAAATGTCATTCTGAAAATCAAATTCCGAGTAGCTTGCGGAAAGGAGGGATTTAGAGGGATTGATTCATTTGACGAGTCGTTTGAGAATCATTGAAAATGTGATGATGTGCATATTTACTCAAGATTATTTTGGAAGGATTTAGAAACTTATATTTTATGGTATTATATTATGAGGAAATTAAATTTTTTACCTTTGAGGCATGTAAACATGTTGTAGGAGACTCCACAAGAACATTAGGAAACTTTAAAATAGCATAATAGGGGCCCTTTAAAACATCAACATTTTCAATATAAAGATACCCACACAAATCATCAATCCACTGAATTCTCCTGTAATTAATCAAGATAGAGTACTAATGCTGCTTCATGTCCCTCTCCTCTCTCAGAGGCTGTCTATTCAGGAAGTCCCACCTCTGTCGAACGGTGACAGCAGCAGCCGTTCTCAGCAACAGCAGCGGTCGTCCCAGTCTGACATTCTCTCCCAGTCTCTCGTTGGCCTTTCTCCCAGCAACACGTCTCAGCAGAATGGGAATGCCCACTCCAGTTCTTCCACTAGCCTTACCCACTCCCAGCCAGCAGTGAGCGTGGCCGGGTTACAGTCTTCTCTCTCGGTTAGCCACACCTCCACATCCTCCCACGGCTCCCTGCAGGGCCTGACTCCACCCCTAACGGCCCCCCACAGCCCTCCACTCCCCCACAGCGCCCCTATGTCCCGCGCACTCACACCTATCCTGTCCACAGCCCATCACGCAGTGTCCAGCTCTCCCAATGCTCTTAATGTGCTGAAGGGTCCAGAGCTCTACGCCACATCCACACTGCCACTGCCGAGGAGACAGACGAGCGACGCTCGGACGGGATTCTTGGGTGCGTCTGATTTTGTTTTTGCCATTTTTGAGCCATGTTCGGGTCATATTTCAGCCGAAAAAGCAGAAGATAAAAATATTTTTCTTTAGGGAATGAAATCTGTTTGAGGAGCATTCAAATATTTTCTTGACACCTAACCATCCCTGGTTACTATAACATTAACAGTAATATGAATAATCAAGATATTTTTAATTATTTAAAAATGATAAATAACTACAGCAAAAAGTGCCATAATGATTTTTTACAGATGTACTTTTCAATTTAAGTAATATAAAAATTGTTTTATTGCACTGCAGGAAAAAGAATTTAATTGTCATTCAAATGTCAAAATCTAGAAAGAAGGTGTAAAAAAGTAGGCTTGATTTTCTTGATTTTGTAAAATATTATTTTATTTTTAGGTAAAATATTATGGATTTTTTTTTTATAGTTTTCCTGACATTATTTTAGTCAGAAATGTTTAAAATGTCCACATTTTTGTTTACAGCATCATAATAATGTCTTTCTGTTATTAATTCTGATTTCTTTCATTTAAGCAGTTTATTTAAAAAAAAAAAACCCTAGCAACCATTCAGAACACTCTAGTAACTGCCCAGCAACACCCTAGCAATCATACAGAACACCCTAGAAACTGTCCAGCAGCCACCTAACAACCATCCAGAACACTCAGAACATCCTAACAGCTGCCCAGTAATATCCAAGCACCCACTTAGCAACCTTTCAGAACACCATAGTAACCACCCAGAGCACCCTAGCATCCGCCTAGCAACACCCTAACAACCATCCAGAACATCCTAACAGCTGCCCAGTAACACCCAAGCACCCACTTAGGAACCATTCAGAACACCCTAGTACACCCTAGCATCTGCCTAGCAACACCCTAGCAACCGGCCAGAACATCCTCCTGACTGATATATATGCTCCCCTTGGGTTCTATTTTATCTCGACATGGGGTTTCTTTCCATCTTTATGCCGATGACACCCAAATTTACTTGCCTTTGAAGCGTGATGACAAGCTTGCTTTAAAGCCAATATTGGACTGTCTGGACGAACTGAAACTCTGGCTTTCTAGTAACTTCTTGAGTCTCAATGAGAGCAAAACAGAAATTATCTTGTTTGGCCCCAATGATCGTAGTACTCATGACTTTGATCTACAAACGTTGTCACCATATAGCACTACCTGTGTTCGGAATTTGGGGGTCTGGTTTGACAACAACCTTAAATTTGATAAGCAGATAAGTGCTGTGGTTAAGTCCTGTTTCTTTCACCTCCGTCTTTTAGCCAAGGTTAAGCCCTTCTTGTCTGTTAAGCACTTCGAGATTGCCATACATGCATTCGTAACATCCAGATTGGACTATTGTAATTCTCTATATATTGGTGCCTCTCAGAAATGCATCACTTGTTTACAATTAGTCCAAAATGCAGCAGCACGCCTTCTCAAAGGGAAGCGTAAATTTGAACACATCACACCAGTCCTGATAGCGCTTCACTGGCTACCGGTTAAATTCAGAATTGATTTTAAAGTTCTTTTATTTGTTTTTAAGTCATTGCAAAACCAGACTCCACAGTACCTATCTGAATTACTTCACCCAATCACACAGTCAAGATCACTCAGATCGGGGGACTCTAACCTACTATCTATCCCTCGAACCAGACTAAAAAATAGGGGTGATCGCACTTTTGCAGCTTTCGGACCTAGGCTATGGAATAGCCTACCGGCTCATATCAGATCTGCCCGAACCCTGTCAATTTTTAAATCTTCTCTGAAAACATATTTCTTTTCAATAGCTTTTAATATATCTTGATGTGTGTGTCTTTGTATTGTACCTGTATTGTACGTCTTTTGGCCTTGTTAAGGACTTTGGTCAACGCCAGTTGTTTTTAAATGTGCTATACAAATAAAATTGTATTGTATTGTACTGACTGCATAGCAACACCTAGAATTTCCAGAAATCTGAGACTTAAAAACTTCAAAGCTTTTAAAACTACTTTATAAACTGCTTTCTCAAGCCAACAAGTTTGTCTTCGTGAACCTTTTAATCTAGTTTAATTTAGGACAATCCTTTCTATCAATCTCACAATTGTATTAAACGTCCTCTTCCAATGGTTGTGGTTCTCCAGGCTCCACTCTTCCCCGTGTGCTCCCTCTCTGTGGGCCGTCCCGTGTGGAGGCTCTGTTCCCTCACTCCACAGACTCCTCAGAGGGAGAGAAGGGAGGAGCTTCATGTCTGCTGTCCTTCCTGGCCGGAGACACTCTTTCCCTGCTGATCAGTGAACCCAGAGACGGCTGGCACTACGGCCAGAACGAGCGAACTGGACGGTATCTGATCATCAATCATCAGTTAATAAAACAAGGGCAATAAAACATTAGCTATGTGTGCTTATTTATAGTGCAGGACTAAATTACTATTTATGTTTGTCATTCTATCACCAATATGGACTTTTCCTTAATCAGCAATAATGTTTAGTCTTTCCTTTTCATTTAGTACGAACAAGCCTTTAACTCTTTCCCCGCAAGCGTTTTTTATTATTTAAAAGTTCAAGTTGCCAGCCACCGCCAGCATTTTTATCATTTTCACAAAATTTTCATGGCCCCTATAATATTTTGTTTATGAATATACGAACATATTACTATCAAAAGAAAGAACAGAGCCTCTGCTTTTAAACAAAAAAACTGTTTTATTCTAGATTCATGCATTCTTTTTTCTATCAACACTTGAATGTGGGTAAGTTTCATAAAAAAGCAGCATTTTGAGCAAAAAGCTGAGAAAATCATGTTTTTGTCTCAAAAACTACATCCAGATTAGATTCAGCGTTGTCTCATAAATGACGGAAATTGTCTTCGATGCCGGGAAAGAATTAAAAACAAGCTTATGAGAGCTACTGTATAGGTTTATGCCTAAATGTATCCAGCTCAGAAGTCTCAAGATATTCAGATACTCACGTCATGTATGCTAATGATCTAAACTCTCCTTCATAGAAAAGGCTGGTTTCCCGTCTCCTACACACAGACTTATCCAAACACTCCCGGACAAGACGTCAGGTCTGTATGGAAAACAAAACCCCATACATGTTAAAATAATCAGCCGATTTAAATACAATTTTGTTTATGCATTCCCATACGCATTCTCTGTTTTTCTCTCTGTCCCTCTTCCTCCAGCGCTCCTCCCCTGTCGAAGGTGAACAGCACCAGCATGGGGCAGCTGGACAGGCTTCCTCCCGCTGGCCAGCTACAGCAGGCCTCTCCTGATTCAGAGGACGAGAGGAGTGTCTTATCTCAGCGGGTCAGCACCTTCAGACCCCGACCCTACAGCATGATGAACCCCGAAACCAGCAGGATGAGCCCACGGCTGCGCCTGAAGGACAGGGTCAGAAAACACACGTTCATCATGACTGTCTCTTCTGACTGTATTGCTACATAAGGCAAGACACTGCATGTGAATAGGGTAAAAGATTATTAGTAATAGTTATCACCTTACACTAATCACACTACATTAAGACAATTCATTAAGACATTAAGCTTTCTGGAATGTTATGCTTATATATGCAAATGAGGCATTACCTATTTAAATATGCACCATCTCTGAAAAGCCAAGCCAATGTTGATTCTTGTTTTATTACGAGCTCTGTCAGTCAACTCCTTCTCGCAGACTCTCCTCTGTTCCCCGGAGGTTGGAGATTTAGCTACTCCATGTCAACCTTTCTGACTGACGTTGTGACAACTGACCTCTGCCACTCAAACACCAGACACACGTCAAATGGCGCTTTTCCACTGCATGGTACGGTACGGCACGGTTCGGTACGGCACGCTTTGGCGCTTTTCCACTGCATGGTATGGTTCGGTACGGCTCACTTTGTGGCGCTTTTCCACTGCATGGTACAGTACGGCTCGCTTCGGCTCGCTTTAAATGGTACCACCTTTGTTGACGTTCCAAGCGTACCGTACCGATACTAAAATGTGACGTGAAAACACTGCAGATCACTGATTGGTCAGACAGAATCTTCACCACCAGCGTCATTGTATTTCACTGACATCAAACCTGCTAGATTTAAATAGCCAGTAACAGCCACCGCTGTAGCACCTGTTTTAAAACTACTTGCTTGACTTGCTTGAAGAAAAAAGAAAGAAAGAAAACTTCCAAAAAAGTAATGGCTGAATCGTGGTCAGTGGACGAAGTGCAGACGTTCCTCTCGTTGGTTCCCGAGGAGCGGATAAACTATAACGGTCAGTCTATAATCCCACACACTTTGAAGCGGTACTAACTGCAGTGGAAAAGCAAACCGAGCTAAAGCGAAGCGAGGCGTGCCGAGTCGAGTCGTACCACACAGTGGAAAAGCGAACCGTGCCGCGCCGAGCCGAGTCGTACCACACAGTGGAAAAGCGAAGCGAGACGCGTCGCGCCGAGCCGTACTGAGCCGTACCATGCAGTGGAAAAGTGCCAAAAGTAGCCAGAACAACTTTTCTTTATTTCTGGATATAATAAGACACAAGGGTGAGTGGCGCATGTACGGTACACAATTTCCCCGTGAAAACCATCCTGTCAGCTCCGAAAATATAAACACTTCAAACATGCTCACCATAGTGAATCAGAAAAGAAAAAAAAACACGTTTTGGAAGAAGGATTTTGACTCATTATTTATGAGTTGACTCATTATTTAAATTTGTTAATTAATTTCAAACAAAAAAGTTACTTAGTGTAACTTTAAATGTTAATATGGATGTTTTCTTATGGAAGTTATGGAAGCAAAATAGCCACAAAATCTCAAAATTGACCAGTGCATGAAAAACAAGGGTTTTGCTTTTTAGTGTCTTGCCTTAAAGTCCCCCTGTGGTCAATCATCTTATCCCTTAAAACTCATCTTTGATCACCAAAATGACATTTTTAAACGTTTTTTTTTTTTCATGCCTTAAAATAGCTTGAATGTAACTCTACACCATTGCCTCATTTAGTATGCGGTTCTATGAATATGCAAATTATTCACTCCACTCCACTCACTCACTCAGCTCAGAGATCCACTGGTTGACGATCACACGTTGATCTGATAGGTTACAAGGTAGTTTGTGACGTCAGAAACACCAGCGATTTCAAACCGTGTTTTTGAGACTGTCTTTGGTTCACTGCAGTTTTAAGGAGAAAATACTCAGCAATGCTGTTGACTTATGAATTTGCACATGGTTTGTCTTAAAGCATATTAAAAACACCACATAGACATATAAACAACATTAAAAACTTGATTTTCACCATCTTCATTTTCACTAAGATTATTCCTATTTAAGATTATTATCAATTTTGTTATTGTATATGTAGATGTTCTCTTTTTTTTCTCTGTCTTACTAAATCATGCTAGGATTTAGCGTACATTGGCATATTTTCCACTGACACAGTTTTTATGTTCCTCAGATGTCCAGCGATTTCACCTCTCCACCTCCATCACCCACCAGGTACAGCTAGTCACCTCTGTTTAGAAGAGCATGTTAAGACGCTCCATGTCTGATGGGTTAGTTGATTTAAACTTGACCTCTTCGCAGGATCAATCCCTTCGCCCATATTCGACTCAGGAAGACGGTGACCAATGATCGCTCCGCCCCAGTAATATAGCAGAGGCTTTGATTGACAGCCACAGATGCTGACTGGAATAAGTTTACTAATGCTTAATGCCGAATGCACTAATGCTTTGAACCTTTGATATGCAACACTTTTGCCAACAGAAACACATTTAGACAGTAACCAATAGGATTAAAGCGCAGATAAATGATAAATTAGCATTCAGTACATCAAATGTATATTATAAATAATGAAATATTTCAAGGGGGTTTTATGTATTTCGTATGAGTGCACATGGAATAGAGAGGGGGAAATCTGACCTATAACATTTGAATTCATGTTATGGACGACAGTGTTTTAAAAGCAAGACTATTGCTCCTACATGTCTTTTTATGTGTGCGTTACAATGCAGCGGCACATTAGGACAGCGATTAACTTACATGTACAATAAGCTGTTTAAAACGTGCATTCACTCGATCAATTTTGAGCATCTAGATGCTCTGTTATCAAACATATCTCAGAGTATGCATTTATTTTTTGTCATTTTAACTGTTAGAAACTGAGCGTAAAAGTAGACTTCAGAGATTTCTTATCCTGTTGTCCCCTCTATAGGCCATGGTCAGGCTTAAAGGAATAGTTGACTTAAAAATGTACTCACCCTCAAGTTATTTCAAACCTGTATGAATTTCTTCCTTCTGCTGAACACAAAGGAAGATATTTTGAAGAATGTCATTTTTCATTGTTAAAATTGTCATTTTTAAGTCAACTATTCCTTTAAAGCGTCGTGGCAGAGCATCAAAGTCGACTAGTCTGTGCAACCCTTAATATATATAAAGGAATAGTTCATCTAAATGTAAATCACTGCCATGTCATTCAACATATGCTGTATTTTTTCTTCTGTTGAGCACTGAATAATGTTTTTTTACCAAGATAATTTTTACTCTTTTCTGTACAATACTGATACACACATGATATGATAAGATACTTTCTCAACAACAAAAAAAATTATTTCAACTTTTTAAGTTTTCATTAAATAAAGACAAGGCATCCTGGAACTTTCTAGGAGAAGTAGGTATGCAGGCGGTTGGTGTCAAAAGGAATAAATTGAATGGAAAATGGAGTATAATTACAGAAGGGTTTTGAAAGAGTTGGAAAGGATTTTAGAAGAGCGTTGTGTTTGTGGAAGTCTCTCGTCCCTTGTCCCTCGTCCCCTCCTCCTCATCTGTCCCATGTATTTGTTTAAACCCCAAATCTCCGAACCATAAGCTTGTAGTCACGAGTTGCAGCAGACTCTAGGTGAGGGCTTTGAAGGCTGTGAGCAGAGAGAAGATCTAAAGATGTGAAAGAAAGGTCTGGAAAGTGTAGACGTGTTGGAGGATGTGACTGTGGTGAAGTGCTGTAGCTGTAGGTTGCTGAATTTTAAAAATAAAAGACATGAAACACTCTCTGTTACACTTTTTAAGGTGACGTAGTGACATTGCAATTACTCGTACTGAGTAACATTAATTAACTACTACATGTACCTCCTATAGTTAGGGTCAGAGTTTGGTTTAGGGTTAGTTACTTGTGATTATGCATAATTTACTGTTACTATAGTAAATGTGTAACTACGTCACCTTTAAATAAAACTCTTTCTTTCCCATGTTTTTGCCATCATTTTGGGACAGAGGAGATGTCTATGTCCGTTGGTTTAAAATGAACCTAAATATATATGATTCAGTTACATGTGAATTTGTGTTTTAAGTAAATTGTTTCTGAACAGATGTTGGTCAGGGTAGCGTCATATTACATTTTTGACAGGAATGAAAGCGAGGCTGTAAAATTACAGTGTGTTGAATGGATTGTAGTGTTGTTTAACAACATACATTGTTCAGCTGATAAAACGTCTTACTGTAGACAAAAACTCCACAACTTTAAATGTGAGTTGTGGAAATTACGTGATCTAGGACGTTTATAGCATTGTGCCATTGTAAAGACTGTACGTCTCTCCCTCACAGCCTCGTTTTCATCCGCGTTCAACTCAATATGGCATCTAACCTGACCAAGGTCTGTTGTCTTAAAAGATTTTACACTGAAACCAATATAACTGATGCTAACTTTTTTCCTCCACCCCAGGGTCAGTTTGTTCTGATCCCTTCTTTTATTAACTTTTTTTTTATTATAAGGATATCTTAAATTGAATAATGCAAAAAGAGGTTAATCTCCAACCTTATATATGTAAATATAACTGTCTACTGTATAATACAGTGAGGTCCAAAAGTCTGAGAATATTGAAATATTTCATACAAATGTTTTCTTAATGCATCAGCATAACAATTTCAGTAAGATTAATTGAAAAAATGATCGTAGTTTTAATATTTGATTGACTCTGCATGATTTGAGACAATCCAAAGAGCACCTTGAGTTTCAATGGAAGAAGAAGATCTGACCGTCCGAGTCACATGATCAACGACACCCGTTTACGCTTGATTAGAGATCTACAAATAGTGCTCAATCTGGAATGCCATGTTCATTTCTCATTCATTGAAATGTATTTCTGAGTTGAAATGAAAAGCATCTCAGACTCAGTGTTGGGGAAAAGTTACTTTTAAAAGTAATCTGTTACTTGTTTGTAAAGTAAAAGTAAAGGTACTTTTGCATTACTTCTCACACCTGGGCTGGGCTTGTTTGTGTTTTAATAACAAAAAAAGTTCTATTTTTAGCAAATGTAAAGGACCTTTCACACCAAAAGTGAACTGAAGCCTCAGGCTCAAGGAAATGTCAATTACTTATTTGAAAAAGTAACTCATATTTTATTCTAAAAGTAATGCATTACTTTTCTAGTAATCTGATTACGTAACTCAAGTTACTTGTAATGCGTTGTCCCAGACACTGCTCAGACTTTTGGACTCCTCTGCATGTTAGCCTGTATTAGTTTGTAATTTTAATTTCCGAACTGATGTAATCGCGGTTGAGCAGGTTTGATCCCGGGCCTCCCGGCTGACATTGTACTTTTATTAAATATCCCAGAGACTCCTGCTACTGAACACTGGCGTTTAAAGCAGGCCTTTACTGTACAAGTCAGTCTGGCTGCTTTGCTGTACTATTTTATGCTCATTTGTTTTGAAGGCACCTGACAGACACATGACTACTTTCCCTAGATGTTTTTGGCTCAGGGTTCAGTCTCTATTGATCAGTCATATATTTTGGACTCTTGAATGTTTTAACATCATGATAACTATATAGACTTTTTTTTTTTTTTTTTTTTATAAATGTACTTCAATAAACAAAGTTAATCTCTGTTGTTTTAGGTGTCAATTTCTATATACTAACAATGATGCTAAAAAGCCAGTTTTAAAACTAGCATTATTCCAGATATGGCAGGTCTATTTTGTAAAGGCTAAAATATCAATAAAAAAACAACAAGATAATTAAATAAAGAGCGTTTATTGAGGGAAATTCATTTAGTGCGACAGAAGTAAAGGAGGGTTTGGATTCAGGATTGTACAGGATTCTGAAGGACTTTTCACAGGTTTTTTAGCCACTCCAGGCTTGTCCCCTGTGGGTCACAAGGGTGCGCTGGGACGTCTGGCATGTTTCCATCATCTCGAACCGGGACTGAAGAGAGTCAAACGTGATTAAAAAGATCAAACTAACATGATGACGACATGTTAAACTAGCTAATTGCATATGCATGTTGAGATTAAATGCACTGAGCTTAAGCTTTTCAACACAGATGACTGAGAATCATCTACGATATATTTAACAAACAACAAATGTTATTGCTAAATAAATGGGATTCCTAAAGAAGTGGAAGAGATGTCCTCTTCTTCTCATTTCTTTAATAATAACCAAATAACAACATTACTTTGTTGTTTACAATATCTGAAATATATTAAAACGTTCCCCTAATTGAAGAAACACCCACATAGAAGTGACCTGAACTATTTAGACATCGTGTAAGAAGAATAACATACCTGGATAATTAAATGGAACAGCTTTGTTCAACATTCCCGTGTACTTTGTTAAAGGGCTCACAACCGGCAGAATACAAGCTGAGTGAAAAAACAAAATATATGCTAGATTCATAAAGCAGGAAGATGAACACTGATGATGCGATCGTGTTCATTCATCTCACACTCACCCAGCAGTCCGAGTCCACAGGAAACTGTGATCACAGGCTCTTTATTCCAAGCATTCTTCAAAAACCTGCCAACTAAAGAAAGAAAGTAAATGCACAGATCTGCCATAGCAGACACAACCGGGCGAAGCGGCGTGCTTATTCGGTTGTGTAGTTTAATGTCATTTGATTACAGTGCTTGACTTGACATGGCACAGTAATGACATTATATGATAATACTGTGGTACTTGATATACATTACAGGAATAATTAGCCTATGCTTTAAGTTTTTTGAAAAAGTCTCTTCTGGTCATCAAGGCTGCCGTATTTGATCAAAAACAGTAATATTGTGCATTGCAATGTTTAAGAACTGTTAGAAACTGTGATACACCACCATTCAAAAGTTTTTTTTTTTTTTTTAAAGGCAATTAATAGTTTTATTCAGCAAGGAGTCAAGGACGCATTAAATAGATCAGTAACATTAATGTCACAAAAGATTTATTTTTTAAATAACTGCTGTACTTTGAACTTTCGATTCCTCAAAGAATCCTGAAAAATAAAATGCATCTCAGTTTCCACAAAAATATGAAGCATAACAGCTGTTAAATTGTGATAATATTTTTATAGTATTATTGTTTTACTGTATTTTTTTAATCAAATAAATGCAGCCTTGGAGAGACTTCTTTCAAAAACATTTAAAAATGATTGTTAGACCTATAAAAAACATTAATTATTCCAAACTACTGGCCAGTATTAACGTTAGTGTAAATACAACAGACAGGAGTGCTGAATTATGGCAATATATTTTGAGAATATCGTGGTATGAAAACAAAACAAAAAACATTTTGTTATGTTTCTAAAGGAGTCATAGGTGCACAACAAATATAAGTTCTCATAGCAATATAAATCATAAATTCATGTTTAAAACACAGCAAAGAAAACCACAGCTAGAATGAGACCAAGGTCATTCTCGTATTCGCACATTATACATTAATTGTTTTTTACTACACGAATATTTTATATACCTCTCCTCAAACAGCCTATTGATTATGTTATTGTACAATACGATCGAACTGAACTACAATAAAACATGTTTCAAGCAGCTAACACGCAAAATGTACTTACTGGCCGCCATGTTTGCTTCTGTAGTCCTGTGCTTCAGGCATCATGGGAAATGTAGTTTAATAAAAATAAAAAAAATGTTTTGTGGTGACGCATTCGCTCTTGATTGGCTCAACGGTCAATTACGTGTTTAAAACGCGTCTTATGCTAGATCGCTTTGTTTTGAGAGCTGTAATGTAGCTAAAAATGAAGGTTTTTAGTTTTATTTTATTATATAACATAGGCTAATACATGCGTTGGTTTGATGCATCGATTAAATTATATGTAGACGGAACTGACGAGGAGTACAAAAGATACCTTCAGTATTTACAATAAACGGACATCATGTGCGACTCTTTATAACATCACTAACTAAAGGTGAGTACAGAGCTAAATCTAACCCAATCAGTAAAACGGCTAAAAACTAACAGTTTTTAATAATGTAAATTACATTAGCTTATTCACAAGCATATCATACGGCTGTACAGAAACGAGCCATGTGAGAAGGTCATAGAAAAGCATGCTAAGTTTATGCTTGGTCAGTAATATTATTTCCAACATTATCTGTAATGTAACTGTACAAACTGAATATTGGGTGAGAAGGTGCACTCATGATGAAAGCACTGGAGGTAAAGCCAGTCTCCATCTTTACCTCCATCTGTTGAACAACACACACTGTATGTAAGACAAATCACCGTTGTGTTTGTTCATGTGCTTCAGATGATGGAGGATTTCTCAGGTCTGGCTTTACCTCCACTGTTTGGGGGTCACATTCTGGAAGCGGAGCTGGAGACGGGTGGAGTGGAGCTGGGCCCCAGCGGCAGTGAGCTCCTGGAGGACGATGGGGCCCCTGCCGGCCCCGCACAGGATGGGGAAGACGAGAGGAGAGAGCTGGACAAAAGCAAGTATCAAGCTCTCAGCAAGAGGTGCAAAGAGATTGAACAGGTGATGAACCGCTTTTGCATTTGCCCTAAACAATGAAGTAGAGCAGGGGTTTCAAACTTGGGCCTGGGGAAAAGACTAGAGAACAACTGTCAAATAAATTAATTAGATTAAAATAAATAAATTAATGAATAAAAATGTGAATTTTTTATCTATTAAATAGATTCATCAATAATCTTTATAGATTTATCAATCATTTATTTATCTTAATATAAATAAACAAAAATAGTAAATTAAATGAATAATACATTTAACAGTACATTACTATAGCGAGTTTATATACTATACTATATATACTGTGTGTGTGTATATATATACACTACCGTTCAAAAGTTTGGGGTCGGTACGATTTTAAGTACTTTTAAAAGAATTCTCTTCTGCTAGCCATGGCTGCACTTATTTGATTAAAAATACAACAAAAATCAGTTATAGTATTAAATATTATTCCAGTGTAAATCAGCTGTTTTCTGTGTGAATATATAGGCTAGTAAAGTGTAATTTATTCCTGTGATCAAAGCTGAATTTTCAGCATCACCAGTGTCAGTGTCTTCAGTGTCAAATGATCCTTCACAAATCAGTATAATATGAGGATTTGATGCTCAAGAAACATTTATTATTATTATCAATGTTGAAACAGTTGTTGGTCTGTCAGTTGTACAGTTTTTTTTTTTTTTTTTTTTTTTTTGGATTCTTTGATGAATAGGAAGTTCAAAAGACTTTTGTAACATAATAAATGTCTTTACTGTCACTTTCGATCAAATTAATTATTCCTTGATAAATAAAAGTATTGATTTCTTTCCTCCAAAAAATAAAAATAAAATTCTCACTGACCCCAAACTTTTGAACGGTAGTGTATATATATACACACACTCACCTAAAGGATTATTAGGAACACCTGTTCAATTTCTCATTAATCCAATTATCTAATCAACCAATCACATGGCAGTTGCTTCAATGCATTTAGGTCCTGGTCAAGACAATCTCCTGAACTCCAAACTGAATGTCAGAATGGGAAAGAAAGGTGATTTAAGCAATTTTGAGCGTGGGCCAACATTTCTAAAGAATGCTTTCAGCACCTTGTTGAATCAATGCCACGTAGAATTAAGGCAGTTCTGGAGGCGAAAGGGGGTCAAACGCAGTATTAGTATACTATGGTGTTCCTAATAATCCTTAAGGTGAGTGTATTTCCTTAAGCAAAATATTAATATAAATAAATATTAAATAAGTCATAAGGCATTTATCTATTATAATCACTCAATTTGAATACTAAAAAATACTAGAAAATAATTTTTGATTTTTAATACACACACACACACACACACATATATATATATATATATATATATATATATATATATATATATATACTATATACACTCACCTAAAGGAACACCAATGGAAAACAAAAGGTCAATTTTGAGTGGAAAATTGAAAAAAAAGTGGATATTCTTTAGAAATTCCCCTTTTGTGTTCCATGGACAAAATTAAATAATGTGTCGCAGATTTGGAACGATGTGAAGGGTGTGTAAATGATTTGAATGGATTTCAAATTTTTGGCTGATCTATACATTTAAGTGAAAGGCTTCTTGACTAAAAGTCTTATGAACCCGTTCTCAGGTAAATGAGAAGATTTTGGGACGACTTCACCAGGTCCAAAGACTGACACGCCGACTGAGGAAAGAAAGAAGGTACTGTACATGCACTCTGTTTTAGAAAGAAACGCTAGTGATGGTTATTATAAACGTTATCACTCCTGAGTTTGGCGTTAAAGGATAAATAAAAGTACTGGCTGTGAGTCCGGAGGGGATATTTGTTTTTAATTACCCTACACGTTAAATAATCATAATCAGTTTTAAATATTTGGTTTGTTCTCTCTTGTTTTTGCATGTTCATAATTTCTATGAATGACAGCCTGGCTGGCCAAAATGCTTACAAAATCTTAATATTTTAATAAAGGATGAAGATGTCAATTTTCCTAGACCGGACATCAATTTTGCGCACGTCTGTAAATAAAAAAACACCAGTGCATATTACTAAAAGCATGAATGGAATGATAATAATAACTAAGGTTGCTACTAACAATACTTTTTTTTCATTTGGACAATTAATCTAATGATTCTGCAATTTCTGCCATGATTTTTAATTTTTTTTTTACAATTAAATTCAGCCCAACAATGGCTAGTGCTGATTATATCCGCAAATGTATTTCTATTATGTGTTTAAAGGGGTCCTAATATGCTTTTCCACTTTTTCAACTTTAGTGTGTAATGTTGCTGTTTGAGCAACACGTTTTTTCCAGATCTCATGAAGTCACAATGTTCCTCATTTGCATAATCCACATAAAGTGGACGAGGCCTGGTTGAGCTGCTGCTATGTCAAAGAGAGTTTTTTTCCACTCCTTTTCCAAAACTCATTTGTTTGACCTTCCTAAGGCTGACAAAATTGAGGATAACATCATATCTATAATGTAGGCCTATAAGAAAATTACAAAAAACAATCATAACACTCTGAAACGCCCTGTGAAATCTGTGCTTGCAAAGTCTGTGCATGAAATCTGCTCCGCACTGTCTTCTCGTTCGTTAACATTGTCTGAATTGAGCTCGAATTGGTTTGAAATTGACGCCATCGTTAAAATTTACACTAGAGAAGAGCTCGCAGTTATGAAGGGGTGGGACATTTGGCGAACATGCGCTGTCAATCACAACACACTGGGCCAGCTGACCAATCACAGCACATTTCATATTTCGAAAGGAGGGGCTTCATCGAAATCAATGTTCGAGCCAGACTGGGGAGAGAGGTGCTGTAATAATGTGAAATATAGTGTCTTTTTTTAACAATCAAGCTTGAAAATATAGTCTAGTACACCCCAAAAACAAAATCAAGACTTCATAAAAGGGCATAATAGGATCCCTTTTATATTTCAGGTATTTTTCTTAAAGGGGTCATATAATGCCATTTTTGTACAAGCTAATATGATTCTTTAGGGTCTAAATTAAAAGTTTGTAATATACTTTAATTAAAAATTCTCATTAGTCTTGTAAGAAAACACTTATTTTACTTGGTCAAAAACAGCTCTGTTTTCAGCACGCCGTTTCAGTGCATATGACTTTAAATGATAATGAGCTTTGCTCACCCCACCTCTCTGTTCTGTGCGTACACCGTTTGTAACTCAATAACACAATAACCATAACGCGTTGTTCATTATAAACGTGGGATTATGAATTATATTGAGAACGTCATACATAGAAAACATGCCGTAATGTACCCTAAGTGTAAACCTTAGACGCATTCATTGTGAAGCGTGCAGCTAGCCATTTGCAAAGATTAATATAAATATTAATATAAAGTTTAATAAAACGTTACACTCACTTCAGTTCTTCTAGAGGTTCAGCAGGAACACGAATATCTGGTACCGATCCTTTTTTCATGAGCAGCTTCTTAGCAAATCCAGCTTTATACTGATCCTCCTTTATAAAGCAGTCTGGTGAGAAATGATTCGCGCAAACATGAAAGCATTGACGGCGCTCGTGGGGAATATTCCCTTCGAAAACAAACTCAGCCACTGCGTCTTCAGCGGTTCGGATTTAGGAACATTAAAATGACTGCTGTGTTCGTTATTACACCCAAGAACAGAACACCACAATCGCTTAGACGCCATTCTGCTCATAGACAGTGCTCCAGCATATCAACAATGACCGCGCCGGTCCGCGCCGCGCAGACTATGATTGACAGCTCGCTCACGAGAGAGGGGGGTCTGTGTTGAAACGATGCTGTCAATCAGCAATCGTGGGAGGGGCTTCCGAGCGTGTGACGTCACAAAATCGAACGGCTCAATTTGAGGCAGGGGAAAACATATAAGGAGATTAAAACAAAAACACTGGATAGATTTTTATCATTTTATGATGGTTGTGTACAGGCACTGCCAACACACATTTCAGTACAATCAACTTGTAAAAGTGCATGTACCATTATATTACCCCTTTAAGGAAATGCTGTAAAGAGAACCCTCTCACTTGGTAGCGTCATAATATTACACAATATAACATAGTCATAACACAGCGTAACATCTGCTCATGTGTGCTCAGGTTCCTCATGAAGACTCTGGACTCGTATGGAGATGATTACAGGACGGCTCAGCTCACCATCCCTCTAGAGGTGAGGAACAAAAACTTCTTTGACATAAAGCTGTGTTCACACCCGATTCGTCTTTTAAATCGGATTTATTTGAAAGTAATTCAACTCTATTTGTTCTGACACTGAAGCTGACGACACACTAAACACGCTTGCTGTGTTCAAACAGGATGAAGGAAAGGCTTTAGATCCTGCTCTCGCTGGTGATGAAGACGGCTCTTCTCCGGCGTTTGCTCTTCAGTCCGCAGGGGGACCCAAGAAAAAGAGGCATCGGGTTCCCAAGGACAGAGAGAGAGACGCACAGGTATAAAGGACCAGACCAAGATCTTTCTAAAGAATATAATCCCGGGACAGGCTGCAGTTACTGCTCCCACATTACAGTTCAAAAGTTTGGAGTCGGTAAGATGTTTTTGAAAGAAGTCTTCTGCTTTTACTGTATTTGATTAGAAAATACAGTAAAAACAGCAATATTGTGAAATATTATTACTATTTAAAATAACTGTTTTCTATGTGAATGTACTTTAAAATGTAATTTATTCCTGTGATCAAAGCTGAATTTTCAGCATCCTTACTCCAGTCTTCGGTGTCACATGATCCTTCAGAAATCATGCAAGGAATTATGCAAGGAAAAAAAGTCAGAACTGTGAGCTATAAACTTACAAATATAAACTTGTTATAGGTGTATTTATACCTATACCATGATTCATTAAAAGGTTGCAATTACCTTTTATATTTATAAAAGGTAATTGCAACCTTTTAATCTCCTAATTCTCCTCATTTTTTTTGCTCACAGTTCCACATTTATAACCAACAATTTTGAGGAATAAAAAAAAAACTGAATTTCTGAGTTACAAAATTGTGAGTCAAAGTCCAAAGTCTTATCTTATTATTTTTGTGGAAATTTAATGTTCCACCATTATTTAATGAATATGAAGTTCACATTTTAATGAAATAGAATTTTTTTTTAACATTATAAACGTCTTTACTGTCACTTTTGATCAATTTATTGCATCCTCGCTGAGTATTAATAAAAAAGAAAAAAAAAGAAAATCATCATACTGATCACAAACATTTCAATGAGGTAATATTACACTCTAGAGAGAATAAATGTCACTTTAGAAAGGGGACGTACATCTCCAATAACTCTTCCATTTTAAAACATCACCTTCCTCAAGACACTTGATTTGAGGAGTCACTTGAACACAAATGCTGCAGAACCACGACCTCAACTATGATCAGTAATGATAGTGACAATATTAAGATGCGTGTTGTTTTGTGTTCCCCCACAGATGGAGTCGGAGCAGCCGGTCATTACAGAGGGTCCGTTCACCGGATTTCCAAGTCCTAGTTCCCTCTCTCACTGATCCCAGTGCAGAAACACCGTCTGAACCTCCACTTACAGGGAATCAAGCAACTGTGGATTTTTTTTTTGTGGGGCTGAATGAGAAATGTTTTATTTTTTATAAGTAAATTAGTGTAGAGCATTTTTATGTAAGATTTTTTCCGCCACAGGATTAAAATAAATATTATTTCAACTCTTTTCCTAGCAATTCTGAGTGGAATTCAGACTTTTTTCCCATATACAAACTTGGAATTGCAAGTCATAAATTGTGAGATTATGCGAGGAAAAAAGTCAGAACTGTGAGCTATAAACTTACAAATATAAAAGGTAATTGCAACCTTTTAATCTCCTAATTCTGATTTTTTTTTTTTTTTTTTTTGCTCTGTTCCACATTTATAACTCACAATTCTGAGGAATAAAACAAAATCTAAATTTCTGAGTTTATATCTCACAATACCAACTTTTTCCCCTCAGACTTGTGAGTCCAAACTGTGAGATATTAAACTAAACTACAGAACTGTGAGATTACCCTTTTTTTTATTATTCTGTGGCAGAAACAAGCTTCCATACATTTGATCTCAACCCTTAACATTGATCTTTTGTAATGATGAAGACATTGTGACAAATGTTTTTTTACAGTTTAATAAACAGATGCAGCTTTTGACACAAAATGAGCTTCACATGGATACAACTGAAGGAGACACACACACACCAGCCGTGGTTCAGTCTATCTGTGCTTGCCGTATCTGTTGAACCGGCGGTACAGAAAGCTGATCCTCTTGTCCAGGATGTGCTTGTCCTCCGTCATCATCCGGTCTCCTACCATCCGCTTCTTCCTGATGAGACGCTGAAGCTCTATCCCTCTGAAGCCTCGGAGCCACACGGGCCCTTTGATCAGGTCTTTTGGGTGGGCTTTAAAATCACCTGCAGTCAAACACAGTCAGCACAGCGTTACACGGCTGTCGGGAACACAATAGAGCGGTTCCCTATACACATGCTGGTCCAAAAGTATAAAGAAAAATAGTGTAAAATAAAACATAAGATGAAAGGGATCCTGACATGGATCTTTTAAAATGATTCGGCAACACTTTACAATAAGGTTCATTAGTTAACAAGAACTAAGAATGAACAATACTTCTACAGCATTTATTCATCTTAGTTAATATTAATTTCAACATTTACTAATACGTTATTAAAATCAAAGGTTGTATTTGTTAACATTAGTTAATGCACTGTGAACTAACATGAACAGCTGTATTTTTATTAACTTACGTTAACAAAGATTAATAAATGCTGTAACAAATGTATTGCTCATTGCTAGTTCCTGTTAATTAAAACATTAACTAGTGAACCTTATTGTAAAGTGTTACCAATTATTTTGATAGGTTCACTTTTATAATGTTAATAATCGTTTTTCCGTATATTGTTTTTTGTGCAAAATAATATTTTCAACATTCATTCTGACCCATGACACACGAGTAAGTGTTTTGAAAACATTATCCATATAAAGGCATTTAGAGAACGCATGCGTCGGGTCAGAGGTCACTCTTCCGCCAGAACTAGACTCGCGTACGGCTTTTACTGGAAGCCATATTTTCCTTACAAAAACGCATCACATGGCTTCGCCTCAGAAGGCCTTTATTAACCCCCTGGAGTCGTGTGGATTACTTTTACGATGGATTGAGCTTCAAAAACTCAGGCTCTATTCACTCCCATTATAAAGCTTGGAAGAGCAGGACGTTTTTTTATAGAACTGCGATTGTGTTTGGCTGAAAGAAGAAAGTCATATACACCTAGGATGGCTTGAATGAGAGTAAATTATGGGTTAATTTTTGGGTGAACTATCCCTTTAAGTGACTGAACGCCAGTGGGCGGGGCCTATGGTGTGATGATGTATAACTATTCCTCAATGTCTTGCTCTGGAGGATTTCATATGGAAATACATGTGACGTCACACATCCCCCAATATCAAAACGAGTTGTTTTTGAAGCCTGATTAAATAAATGCTTTGTTTATAATAAGGAGGATGTTTTAAGTTCTGAAACTTGCAGGATGCTTTAATGGTATACAAACCTTTAGGCCTAAATGTCAAATGCCCATTTAAAGGAACACTCCGACTTTTTGGGACTTTAGCCTATTCACCTTATCCCCCAGAGTTAGAAAAGTCCATACATACCTTTTTCATCTCCTTGCGAGCTATAAGTCTGTTTGACGCACCCACCGCTAGCCTAGCTTAGCAGAAAGACTGGATGTAAATGGTTGCAGCTAGCATACTAATCCAAATAAGTGACAAAATAACGCAAACATGTTTCTATTTACATGTTGTGATTTGTATAGTCACAGAGTGTACAAAAAACAAAGTCACATGAGACACAGACATATTTTAACCGTATAAATACTGGGAACTATATTCTCTGAAGGCGACTATATATTTTCTGAAGGCGAAGCACTGCTACTTGGGCGGAGTGATAACCGCAGCACCTGAGACGCGCTCTCTGCTCCTCACCACGGCGCGTCTCAGGTGCTGCGGTTATCACTCCGCCCAAGTAGCAGTGCTTCGCCTTCAGAGAATATAGTTCCCAGTATTTATACGGTTAAAATATGTCTGTGTCTCATGTGACTTCGTTTTTTGTACACTCTGTGACTATACAAATCACAACATGTAAATAGGAAAATGTTTGCGCTATTTTGTCACTTATTTGGATTAGTATGCTAGCTGCAACCATTTACATCCAGTCTTTGTGCTAAGCTAGGCTAGCGGTGGGTGCGTCAGATAGAGTTACAGCACGCACGGAGATGAAAAAGGTATGTATGGACTTATCTAACTCTGGGGGATAAGGTGAATAGGCTAAAGTTTCAAAAAGTCGGAGTGTTCCTTTAAACTAAAATAAATACATTGAAACATTAAGATAAATAATCAATACATCTAAATACACACATCAACATTACAGCACATTTATATAGTGAGTAGAAAAGATTTAATGTTACTATAGAAACTATTTAATTAACTATTTTCACAGTATAATTATGGTCTCCATACATGAAAATTAGCTGCCTTTTAAATTTTAGGATGGGGTCCCTCATGCGAGGATGATCATATTTGGGGATCTGTGGCATCTGAAAGATTAAAAACCCCTGGCCTATACAATTCAGCCTTGGGCTTGGCGGTTTACATAGAAAGAATTAGAAAATGGTTATTTGAACATTGTGATGATTTTAAAGCAATATTTGTCCATGCGTTATGGTTTCCATCCTGGTTGACCAGTTTTGGGTTCAATCCTTTTCACAACCGAGTTAAAAAAAGATGAGATACATATTTTAATCGCATCTCAGATTTAAACCTTGATAGCAAAATGAGACCAATTAGAGAGCTTGGAAGAGCCATTCATGTTTATGAGTCAAATTTAATCAGTTCAGAATACAATGATTTATTTGCATCATTCCTAGTTTACAGAAATTCTTGTAGCATTTGACACTCTTATTAAGAAGCCAAATATAAAATACTTGTGAATAAATAATTTGTAAATATTTTTTTACTGTGCATTTTGGTGCATGCATAAAATATATATATATATATATATTTTTTTTTTTATTGTATACAAATTTTGTAAGAGCACTGAATATTGGCGAAATGGTGAAAGTGAGTTCTAGTGTTCCTACACCACATTTACACAGTAGTTCTGTACTGGATGGGGATTTCTAAAACCATTTTTAAAATGACTGAACTTTACTAAGGACCACAACACATTTATTATAGAAATACAAAGACAAATACAATTTAACAAATAGCAATACATTAAGGGTTAACTGTATATGTGTAAATAAGTCACTCACCCAATATCCCAATGTTGTCATAAACTCCAAACATGCTTCTCTTCTCCGTCCATCGATCCACCTCTTTCAGTTTGGGAATGGCGTGCATTCGTATTCTAGCACAAGTACCTGTGTGATATAGGACATGCAACATGTTATTCATATTAAACAAGAGGACAATATGCGCAATCAATCAGATATAATAATGAATAGAGAATCCACACACACACACACACACACCTGTGCTGAAGTGTCTCGCGCAGAAAGTCCCCGCGCGACTCAACAGTCCTCCAAACACAGACATGCTGCAAAACCATTAACAACGCAGATTTACTCTCAAGCATTACATCTACATGTATGATATAGTGATAAATGTGTTCATGAAGCTCTTCTATCGTGACCTTCAGTCGCGAGCACAGTGACGTTAGATCCTGTCGCGTGCTCAACTCAATCTGTCTTTTAAACGTGCTTTACCTTCAGAGAATCCGCGTTGGGAGTTAGAAAGTGTTTCAAACCACAGTTGGATGCTAAATACTTTAAAACTTCGGAAATCCTCCAGGTAAATATAGCGATACCGGTGTGTTATCCATGTGTACACACTATCACAGCAGCCATTTTACGTCTTTCAGAATAAAAGTCACATTTTGTATGACGAATACAATTTGTTGTTTATGATTGTTTATGATAATCACCACATACAGTAATGAGTTTGATTGTATGCAAATTTGACTTTCTATAATATTTTTCAACCTCCACTAGCAAGCGTTAGAAAATATATCACCTCTGTAAGTTATTAAACATTGGTTAGAATCTTTCAACGGCAATATTCTTATTGACATTTTACTCACACATAGTAGAAACATTCTACAATTCATATCTATTAATGATTATTATATATTTAGTGCACCATAGTTTCAGTTTGCTTGAAATTGCTTTGATGTCCCTTGAATTGAGTGTCATATAAGGATATTTTTTAAAGTCACATTATCTATACACACAAATACTTATAATATAATTGTCTTCAAATTAAGAAAATATTTAAAAGTTTTTGTCAACTATTTTATTTTGTGTGTGGTTCAGGTATTACCTACATTGTGGGGACCAAATGGAGAGTGGGGACATTTATGGTCCCCAATAACAGCATTTAAATTATGTTAAATTGTGTTTTTTTTGTTTTGTTCTGTTTTTTGAAAATGTAAATCAAAATTTACTATATTTACTTTGTTAGCGCACATTACTAGTTTTGTAGTGAATCATCCATGCAAGTCAACTGACATTTTGTTTGTTTGTTTGAAATCTGAAAATGCACTTCCCCTCCCCCCTCTGGTGCTCTGATATGGGATGATTTTAGTATCAAAATGATTAACACGTGCAAGCACACTTATCAATGAACTTGATACATGTTGCAGAAATGTTTTATCCATGCCTTTCAACTTGTGTGTGCAAAATTCAAAATTGAATGAATGTGAAGCAATTTGTACAAATAGAGACATTTTTGTGAATACAAATGTTTTCCTTTGTATTAGTGTATCATAATTTGCACATGCAACACAGACGACGTGCATGTGTGGATCAGGTGACGCGCGTGCATTCATTGACTCGATTCATTGAGTCGATCCTATTTGATTCATTTGGATTTTGAGACTTTCATTTCGCGGGTTTCGCCTTGCACGATCCACACACAGCTGTCTGAGAAAAGCTGCTACCACTAGATGGCAGTATTCTGCTAAAACAGACAACGGCAGCATAATCAAGCGTTCTTCCGCATTTAAGACGCTTAATGAGAGTGATATTGAAGCACCAAATTTAGTACACAATAATATAGGCCTACCCTACTAATAAAGCATACTTTATAGAGGCAAACATTACGTCAGATTATGAACAACACCCATAGAAAACCATTATAAAACGCTTAACGTGCAATCGCGCGTTGCATGTTCAGTAAGGTGTATTGGCTACTGAGTTTAAATATCACCGTCTTACTGCATTGACGTTTAGCTTTTTCTTTATAATATGCTCTATGGGAGGAAAACTATATAGCCTACAGACAAGAGACTACATGAACGCAACGCACGGCGTTTCAAGTTAATACAATTTTCCTTCCTGTTAAAAAAAAAAGGTGAAATTTCGCAGTTGCGTTCATATTATATGCTTATTTTTATCTGACTACACATTGTGTACATAGTATACAAGCAGGAATTTGAAAATGTCTGTTTTTAAATATTAAAGACGATTTTCGCAGTACATTTGTTTTCCCTTGACCCTTAAGCCATAGGCTATAGTCTTACTATAGCACGATGAGTTTTAACAATATGCAACCATTGTATATCGACATGAAATATTAATTGAAAATCAACTGGCGTAGCGGGCCTGTAGCTGCATATTTCTACATGAGAATGCTTTGACGCGCTAACCACAGCTCATGATGCACAAGGGAACGTCTGCCAATTCCACTAACTGCGTTAAAACCACTGATCTATAATGTCATTCTATATAGATCAGTGGTTAAAACGTATAATTTGTTTTAATTCAAATTACTTTTTAAATTTAATAACAGACATTTTCAAATTCCAAAGCTCGTAGAAGGTTTCTGTAAGACTGACTTACAAGTAAAATTTGGTCAATACTTCCCTTCATGTAGCCTGTATTCTGCAGAAAAATACTGTAATTCACCAAAAGGGTTTTTTCATGTTCAAAATGGTTGTAGTATGTTCAGTGACTAGACTGGCTTACTACAGGTGAAATTGCCCCAATAACTCCCTTCATGTAGCCTATTTAGTAAACAATTATTATTTTATAAAAAAAATTACTGTAATTAACCAAACGTCTCTCAAACGTCTCTGCTCTTTGCGGATGATGTTGTCGTGTTGGCCCCCTCACACCAGGACCTTCAGCGTGCACTGGGACGGTTTGCAGCCGAGTGTGAAGCGGCTGGGATGAGAATCAGCGCCTCCAAATCCGAGGCCATGGTCCTCAGTCGGAAAAGGGCGGCTTGCTCACTTCAGGTTGGTGGAGAGATCCTTCCTCAAGTGGAGGAGTTTAAGTATCTTGGGGTTTTGTTCACGAGTGAGGGAAGGATGGAACGGGAGATTGACAGACGGATCGGTGCAGCTTCTGCAGTAATGCGGTCGATGTACCGGCCTGTTGTGGTGAAGAAAGAGCTGAGCCGTAAGGCAAAGCTCTCGATTTACCGGTCAATCTACGTTCCTACTCTCACCTATGGTCATGAGCTTTGGGTCATGACCGAAAGGACAAGATCCCGGATACAGGCGGCCGAAATGAGCTTTCTCCGCAGGGTGGCTGGGCGATCCCTTAGAGATAGGGTGAGAAGCTCGGTCACTCGGGAGGAGCTCAGAGTAGAGCCGCTGCTCCTCCACATCGAGAGGGGTCAGCTGAGGTGGCTCGGGCATCTGTTTCGGATGCCTCCTGGACGCCTTCCCGGGGAGGTGTTCCGGGCACGTCCCACTGGGAGGAGACCCCGGGTAAGACCTAGGACACGCTGGAGAGACTATGTCTCCCGGCTGGCCTGGGAACGCCTCGGTGTCCCCCCGGAAGAGCTGGAGGAAGTGTCCAGGGAGAGGGAAGTCTGGGCATCTCTGCTTAGACTGCTGCCCCCGCGACCCGGCCCCGGATAAGCGGAAGAAGATGGATGGATGGATGGATGGATAACCAAACAGGTTTTTGGTGACTTACTACAAGTGAATAATGTAAAATTTCACCTGACTTGTCACTAGGAACGTACTACAACCTTTGGAACATGAATAGAAAAACAATTTACAGTAAATTAAACAATAGATACTGTTCAATCGAGATATTGGCTGGACATAGTTGTGGCAATGAAGAAAATCTGTGCCGCGAGTCACATAATTGATTGTTTACTTTCACTGTCACGTTACGCAAAATGGGAGGAGTATGTCAAACAAATTAACGTTAATCACGGAAGGAAACTGAATATAAGGAAGTGTGTCGTACCTGGGAAAGGCGTCACCCGTTTGTGCATTGAGAAGTTTAGTGAAATCGTGACGGATCGTTGGGGAGAGACGGCCGCTTGTCGATCTGTTGTTTCCTGTGGTTGAAGTCTGGTGCGTCGCGAAAGTCGGTGCATTCCCAGACAAACAATGATGGAGCTGTTTTAAAGACAAGCCAAAGCTGCTGTATCCGCCTATCCTAGTGTCGAAGAGGACACTCGATACTCACTACACCTGTTTCTTGCCTGCAAATGTGTGACGCGTTGTGACGCGATGGGACGCGTGGATGTTGCGTTGATGTTGCGTTGAAGTGAAGACGTGGGAAGTTTTGCACGGATTTAAAGAAACGTCAGAGATGAGATATACCGTGGAACTTTTTGTGTGTTATTAGTATTATTATGAATAAATATCCTTTGTGAAATGATTTTTCTTTTTTGATTATTACTATAATTTTTTTTGTGTGTAACAGGTGGTTATTTTTTGGCTATCCTGGGTTCATTTAAATTTTGACAGGTTTTATCCTGCCCGAACTTTTCTTTAAAGTCATTTATTTGTATTAGGGCGGCCACCACCGTTACATATACAGTAACAGTAGGCTAAGTCAGTCTGCCCACTAGACTTCCAAGGTTATAATATAACCTTGGAAATATGTTCATTTGAATGAATGACTGGACGTTTATATTTTTTTGACTGTGAGTGGAGTTTGCAGATGGTCCCTTTATAAAATGAGGCGAATATCAAACCTAAAACTTACTTCACTGCACTCTCGGACCGGTTGCTCTCCCATTCACATGCAAAGTTAAACGCAACTGCAGAATTTTTATTTCATGTTAAGCTTTTTCTTTTTAACAGGCTCGGGAAGGAAATGTTATTAACTTGAAACGCCGTGCATGCGTTGCGTTCATGTAGTCTCTTGTCTGTAGGCTATATAGTTTTCCTCCCATAGAGCATATTATAAAGAAAAAGCTTAACGTCAATGCAGTAAGACGGTGATATTTAAACTCAGTAGCCAATACACTGAACATGCAACGCGCGATTGCACGTTAAGCGTTTTATAATGGTTTTCTATGGGTGTTGTTCATAATCTGACGTAATGTTTGCCTCTATAAAGTATGCTTTATTAATAGGGTAGGCCTATATTATTGTGTACTAAATTTGGTGCTTCAATATCACTCTCATTAAGCGTCTTAAATGCGGAAGAACGCTTGATTATGCTGCCGTTGTCTGTTTTAGCAGAATACTGCCATCTAGTGGTAGCAGCTTTTCTCAGACAGCTGTGTGTGGATCGTGCAAGGCGAAACCCGCGAAATGAAAGTCTCAAAATCCAAATGAATCAAATAGGATCGACTCAGAAACGAGTCAATGAATGCACGCGCGTCACCTGATCCACACATGCACGTCTTCTGTGTTGCATGTGCAAATTATGATACACTAATACAAAGGAAAACATTTGTATTCACAAAAATGTCTCTATTTGTACAAATTGCTTCACATTCATTCAATTTTGAATTTTGCACACACAAGTTGAAAGGCATGGATAAAACATTTCTGCAACATGTATCAAGTTCATTGATAAGTGTGCTTGCACGTGTTAATCATTTTGATACTACTAGGTGTGTTCGACATCGGCTGCGGCTGGATGTAAGCGAT